ACGTTTCGGGATTGTCCTTGACCTTGCAGCATAAGGGCTGCCACTTGCCGGATCATGCGCACACCATTCGACTCAGCACGGCCCACGGATTATTATGTCGTAATTGTGAGCGGTTATATGCATCACCTGTGGAATTATTAGCAAATTCATCGGGCCGGTTCTATACGATTCACCCTGTATAACAGAGTTTGAACTGAGGGTTCATAAAGAAGAACATGACAAAAAATACAAGTGTCTCGAGAAGGGTTGTACTGCTGTGCGTTGCCTGTTATTCTCTGTACGAACATAACAGGAAGAGCAACTACACTTCACAAAGCAGGATCGTGCTATTATTGCCCATCACTCCCAGAGCGTTCTTGCGGAACTAGCCGTACTGAGAAGACAAAAAATGTCTTTAAATTTAAGCCCTAGTTTATTTCTATTTATTCTTTCACGCACTGAGAGCCACAGGCTGTGCGCTCCCTTCACTATTGTACTGTCTTGTATGTAATATATAATTACAGTACTCAGTTGTACAGGGACCGGCGAAGATCAATGGTCTGAACATTGAACCCGGAGCACCCAGTCGTATTCCACATCTTGCAATTCCTAGAACAGAGCGTTTATATTCCTGCGTTGCTTCCTGCATAAGGATATTAGGAACAAGAGGCCAGTAGCGGTTAGTCGAGATAGTCATTAATTCTGCATAGTAAAACAGTAAAACAACGGTAAGTTTATTGTGTCAACCTCAGACCATATGCATGCAGGCAAGTTCAGAAGTGTCAGTTTATCCGTTACGTGGCATAATAATAGCAGAAAGAAATCATCTTGCGAAATGTGTCCATAAAAATGCTGATATTTCAATCTAAGCATTTATTGCGTGCAATAAGACAGACAAAAAACACAACTGACGTAAGAATAACTGTACAAATTTTCTGTTTTAAATTTATTATTTTGATTTAAGCTCCATTTGTTGCTCGGCACACATCCAGAACCTCAAATCAGCTGTTTTCATGAGTGTTTCAACGTATCATGGGCAAATATAGATATACAGATTGAAAAAGTTAAATAGTTCCGTTCAGTGTGACTGGTTATGATTTTCTTATTTCAATTCTTCATAGATCATGTAGCACGAATGGGGGAGACGAGGAATGCGTATAGGATATTGGTGGGAAAGCCAGAAGGAAAGAGACCATAGGGAAGACCAAGGCGTAGGTGGGTGCACAATATTAGAATGGATCTTAGAGAGATAGGATGGGATTGTATGGATTGGATAGATCTGGCTCAGGATATGGACCAGTGGAGGGCTCTTGTGAACATGGTAATGAACCTTCGGGTTCCATAAAATGCTGGGAAATTCTTGAGTAGCTGCAGAATTGGCGGCTCCTCCAGAAGGGCTCAGCTCCATGAGTAAGTAAATAAGTAAGTAAGTAACATTTATAAACCACTATTACAGTATAAGTGTATGTTCTAAAAGTTAAAATATATACATACAATATAGATAATATACAATTGGCTGTAAAATCTAAAGTCTTTACAACTACAGCGGCTGTTCCAATACTTTAAAACATTTATAGTTAGTTTGTTAAGATTCTATTGGATTTCGTAAACCAAGCTGGTTCGTGTCATCCCCCTTAATATTTCTTTTGAGGGGGCCGAATGTGTGCCCCCTGTCGTTCTCGAGAAGAGGGTTCTTTATGTTGCCCTGTATGTGTTTGGGGCCCGCTGTGTTGTATAAATAACTGAAATAAGGAAATCTTAACCAGTCACACTGAACGGAACTATTTAACTTTTTCATATTATTAGTGTGACGGACCAGAATGAAACAAATCTAATTAGCTATAGATTCTTAAATTTTTACCCTACTTATTTTGGAAAAAAGAGAGCAGGCTCATACTATCTCCATGATGTCTACATGTCTGTGTATCTGTGTGTGTGAACCCCCCTCCACGTTAACTTTGAATACCCGAACCAAATTTATGAAACTTGGTATGTATATATCATGGCACCTGAACCCATCTCAGCGGCGTATTTAATAAATCCCTCCCATTAGTCTGTGTGCCTGTTGCTAGGCAACGTCTGGTAAAATGTGTCCCTCCTTTCGTTGCTCGGCATCGGCTCAGTAAAAATGTTTCAACGGCAACGAATACGCACAACAACAGAGGAATTGCTGGGCGCGTTTATCTGTGGGCCTGTCTGTGTATCTCTATATCTGTTGCTATGTTATAAATTCGGTAAAAATATTCCCGCGGAAATGAAATCTCTTGGAGGAGCCGTTTTATATGCAGTCCGTGTTATATCAAAGGGAAGTATGCCATTAGATTTTCCTAGAACTTCTGGTTAGCCTATTTTCCTGTATTCTGTAGCGACTTCATTTCTGTGAAGTACAATTTTCCTTTTACATAACCCCTGGAAAAGAAAAGAAGTGGATCGAAGTGTGGTGAATGGGGAGGCCAAGAATGGGCTGCTTTCTCACCTGAAACTGGGCTTTCGATGATTCTCGTAGGGTGTTGACAAAATATAGGGTCGCACCACCTTGTATGCAAATGACGTCGCTATGGCCATCAAGCTGTGGAATAAACTTGCACTAAAATATTACATTTTGCTCCTAAGAAAAAGGAAAACTCGCTTCTGCGCTTGGTTTATGCAAGCAACGCCTTCATCTTAGAAGTGTCTCTTTCACGTTGTAGGTATCTTTATGTGTATCTACAATTCCTTGTATGCGGAAGGTTGCTTCATCGAAAGAAAACTGGAGGCTTCAGGTACAGTTACCCAAGATAGGCTGGAGTACGACTGGCTGCAGCTGAGCTAGTAACAGAGCGTGTATCAGAATAACACTTCAAAACTAAAAGAAGAAAGGTGACTCTTCTTTGTAGACAAGATCTTAGGTTTTCGTGTGTTCGATACTCAAGTTTTCCACATTCTTGGTCACGACGCCGTGTAGTTTAGTGCGCATCTTTTCCGAAACAGGACAGGCCTAGAATCTGACAGTTCATTACCTTCTTCACAATCGCCGGCCACTGGACTCTCTTCTGAGCTAGCTGAAGGCGGTCGATTTATTCCTAAAGCTTTCCTTCAAGTTCCCGAGTAAATTGTGAAAAGCGCTTGTTTCCCTATGCACTCAATATGCCCCGTTCATCTCATGGACCTAAATTTGATAGTCGTCATGATATCTGATGGATACAAATCGTAATGTTTCTCATTATGTAATTTCCTCTGTCTTCCTCTCCCTTGTCTGCTATTTTAATACCCAACGTTAAAGAAACTTCGTATTAGTAACGAATTCTGTCCATCTATGGCCCTACAGGCCTTTTGTCGGACCTCGGCGGCTTTCTCAGGTTCTTAATCCTATACACAGGCGGCAGGATTATTTGGAAGGAGGATCAGCCCCTCAAGGCCGCTACCTACACACAGAATAAACACACAAACATCCATACCTGGAGTGGGATTCTAAAGGGGCCCGTACACTAAGATCTATATTAAGAATCGCGGGGTTTTCTTCAGTGCCCCCATCTAATGCTTTGACAGTGCCTGAGTATACGCTGCAGAATTTTCCATAAATATACTGACAATTTGACATTCATGCAACAAGCAGTCCCTACATTAAAATAGGGACTCATGATTACATTTAAATTTCACCTGATTCTAAATAAAACCTGCAGTTGAAACAGACAAAGAAGAATGTACTAAATTGTGACGTTCGGCTTACAGAAGGACATCCAAACACATGCATGTTGAAAGTAGGATTCCTAAGGACGTGTGTATTCTTCCGTAAATTTCATAAATTTCGTAAATATCATCTATAAAACCACAAACTTTCGCTAGTTGGAGGAACTTTTATAATCCTTCCTCATATCCAGTAATGACGAGTTATTGTATAGGAAGAAACTTGTCAGGATTATATACAAAAAGGAGTCACCAGAAGGATATGATGGGGCATTTTATTATTATTTTTTTATTGCCAGTGGGGTGGGACTAAGTCCCTTGTACTGCGGCAACTTCTGGCTTATTGTACCAGCCCCAGATGATAGGTGAGAGTGATTGTGGAGCAATTGGTGGAATGGAGATTGGCAGGGGAAACCGAAGTAACCTGCTCCAGCGCCATTTCGTCCACCACAAATCCCACTTGTCCAGACCCGGAATCGAAACCGGGCCGCCACGGTGGGAAGTCAGCGACTAAGCGCTTGAGCTATGGCGCGG